GCTACATTGACTTAACTGAAAATATGGTTGCTGAAATCTAGACAATATGGCGCGAGCGATCAGCATCGCTACTAGTAAACCGCACACCCGCTTGAATTAAAAAAAGTCCAGTGTGTATTAATTATTTCATTGATTAATTCTGAATTTGTGTGATTTATATTTGTTTCCTCTATTTTACTTTTTTAGGTTACGCACTGCATAGAGCTTTGGCTTGCTATAATGCCTAAATAGTAGACTGCGTTCCCGCTAATCGAACCACTTGTGAAAGCTTCTATAATACCAGCGCCAATCAACCACCTGCCAACATGCCATCTGCAAGATTGCCATTCAAAGAGCAGGATGTGATCAAGCTTGTCTTGGAGTTTTTGAACAACAGAGATCTTCACATTACTATGCTGTCAATGGAGAGAGAAACAGGCGTGCGTATTCTCGACAGTTGAACGCACATATGTACATAGTAGCGGGTTATTAATCTTCCATAATCTAAAGTTAATGGAAGAGTGTCATGTGTACTTAATTGCTGTCTGTCTCAATCCTTGTTTTAGATACTTGTTGCGTTATATTCTTTAAGATTTCCATGATCACATATTTGACCTGTCGGCCAGTAGAAAAACTAGGAATCAAATGGATTAATCAAAGAATTAGCATTATCCTTATTCGCATTTAAAATTTTTATTAATTCCCAAGTGTCCATGGTGAACCAGCTTGCTATTATGTGTTTACAAAATGTCAGCTTGGTGATTTTATTCTATGCTAAATCAATGAAATCTGACGACTTTTCAATTCCAGGTGATTAACGGGATCTACTCGGACGACATGCTGTTTCTACGGCAACTCATCCTCGACGGCCAGTGGGACGACGTGCTCGAGTTTGTGCAGCCGCTCACGCAGATGCCGGGATTCGAAGCAAAGCGCTTCCAGTTTGTCATCCTCAAGCACAAGTACCTCGAGCTGCTCTGCCTCAAGTCGGAGCCCGGCCCGATGCAGAACAGCGACTTCACCGTCGACGAGGTCGTGCACTGTCTCAACCGTCTCGAGGAGTTCTGCCCGGGCAAGGAGGAGTACAACGAGCTGTGCCTGCTGCTGACGCTGCCACGGCTCTCCGACCATGCCGATTACAAGAACTGGAACCCGAGCGCGGCACGCGCCGACTGCTTCCGGCGCGTGCACCCGCTGCTCGCCGCGTTCATGCCTGTCGAGAAGCACGACAACGACGTCGCCAAGAGTGACCGCATGATCCAGCTGCTGCTCAAGGGCCTGCTCTACGAGTCGTGCGTCGAGTTCTGCCAGCGGCGCGCGACGGGCGCGCGCGACGTCACGGCGAGCATGATCCAGACGAAGATGCTCGACGGCACCGGCTTCAGCAGCGCCGACCTCAGCCTGCTCTCCTGGCTGCAGAGCATCCCGCCGGAGACGTTCGCTTGTCCGTTTGAGCAGCGCGAGCTGAGCGTCGACGTCGAGCCGCTGCCGCGGCCGCTCCTCGACGCCTCGTGGTCCGAGCACATCCTCGCCGCGCCGATCAAGCCGAACATCTTCCCGCACGCGGCCGTGCCGTGCACGCGGCCGCACTCTGCCGCGCCCATGTCGCGCTCGCTCGCGCCGCAGTACGACGGACTCGCGCACGGGCTGTCGCGCGGCGGCGGCACGGCGCGCGGCGCTCGCTCATTTCCGGCTGGCGACGCCGCCGTCGCCGCGGCGATGTCGAAGTCATTTGCCGGCTTCCACCTGTCAGCGGTGCGGCAGCGCGACACCAACCCGATGAGCGTCTCCATCGACCGCATGTTCGCCGACGCCGACATGGTCAGCTCGGGTCAGGAGGGCGCCACTGACCGCACGCTGCCGCGTCCGAAGACTCCGCCGCCGCCTCCGACGCCTCCGACGTCGAGCAAGGCGGACCGCGGGAAGGAGTCGCCGCCGCGCGTCAGCGAGACGCGGGACTCCGGCGAGCTGTACCGCGAGTACCAGAAGCAGAAGCAACTCACGCAGGAGGCTGAGCAGGAGAAGCAGCGGACAGCGGCGAGCCAGCAGCAGCATCAGCAGCAGCTGATGATGGTGGACGCCGCCGCTGACGACAAGCTACAGCCGATGAGCAAGGACAACAGGTGCGTGCCGTAGTACCGAGACAACTGGTCTGGAGCCGAGACACTGGCTAAGGCATTGCGGATTTGCAGCGGCTTGCAGCTGCGGCTGGCTAGTGTAACCAGTGGCAATGCATTGACTTCAAAGCGTGCGATTATGGGGGCGATTTCGAACCGTTTTCTTTTTAACTGTCGCCCCCGTAATCACATTTTTGGGAGCTCTTTTGGGAATTTTGGGGGCGATTTCGCTCGCCGCCCCCGTGTAATTTTTCCACTGCCTCCCATGCCACACCCAGTCCTGCCACACTGTGGAAAGTGCATTCTACCACAACCTACCCTGCCATGGCCTGCCACACCCTGTCCTGCCACATCTTGCTCTGCCATGCCCTCCTGTGCCACACCCTGTCCTGCCACACTGTGGACAGTGCATTCTACCACAACCTACCCTGCCATGGCCTGCCACACCCTGTCCTGCCACATCTTGCTCTGCCATGCCCTCCTGTGCCACACCCTGTCCTGCCACACTGTGGACAGTGCATTCTACCACAACCTACCCTGCCATGGCCTGCCACACCCTGTCCTGCCACATCTTGCTCTGCCATGCCCTCCTGTGCCACACCCTGTCCTGCCACACTGTGGACAGTGCATTCTACCACAACCTACCCTGCCATGGCCTGCCACACCCTGTCCTGCCACATCTTGCTCTGCCATGCCCTCCTGTGCCACACCCTGTCCTGCCACACTGTGGACAGTGCATTCTACCACAACCTACCCTGCCATGGCCTGCCACACCCTGTCCTGCCACATCTTGCTCTGCCATGCCCTCCTGTGCCACACCCTGTCCTGCCACACTGTGGACAGTGCATTCTACCACAACCTACCCTGCCATGGCCTGCCACACCCTGTCCTGCCACATCTTGCTCTGCCATGCCCTCCTGTGCCACACCCTGTCCTGCCACACTGTGGACAGTGCATTCTACCACAACCTACCCTGTCA